ACACATTTTATTTTCCTTACTTCCCCCGCTTCTTAAAAATGCTGTGTTCAATCAGATCTTGGAATATATAAATACATTGTATATTAGTTAAGACTGAACCATAACACTATTCAGTAGATTCTGCTGACAGTGAGATGCTTGTTGCCACATGCCTTGACTGACATTCCTAATTGGTGGACGGGAAACAAGTGGCCGCAAGTTAAATCTCTACCCATGTCTGTATAGTGAAGCTGCTCACGACAATGAGGAGTGTCTCAGTAATTTCTTTCCTGACTTTATTATGAATAATTTCAAACATGCAGAAAAGTTAAATAATGTACAATTATAATCCAGTTACCTACCACCTAGATTTAACAATTGTTATTGTCATGATAATGATACTGAGGTTAATGAGGACATGGGCAGACTTTCTCAAGTACATTATTTTCTGATGGCTTGAAGGTGTCTAAAACTCACCAACAGAAATCATCCAATGGGTTTCTTCATTATGAGGTCTTCAGTGGACATTTTCCCATTCATAACACGGAGGTCTCTCTGATGGTGAGCTATTCTTTTCTATAATGCCACCTCTTGATTTCTTGACTTAGCTAGGACTAGGCCTGCACTCTTCTATTCTTCACATGGCAAATGTGGCTTCTTACTTCTTTTTATACCTTTCAGCTTTTCAATGAAATAATAGGTTTTCTCAATTCAGCAAAGATAAAAATAGGATGCCCAGTTAAACTTGAATTACTTTTTTAGTATAAGTATGTTTCATGCAATATTTGGAATATTCTTATATTTTTAAAATTGTTTATCTGAAATTCAAGTTTAACTGGGCATCCTGTATTTTATCTCACAACCCTGTAAAATAGACAAGTCCATAGAGCTTCTTCATATACTATAGGGGACTTTGACATTTGGGTTTTCAAGCTTTCATGCTGAAGACAAAATGAGAGAGAAGGGTAAAGGGAGATAAAATGCTTCTGCACTGCAACTAAAAAAAGAATATTGTTATTTATTTTAAAAGAATATTATCGCTTTTAACTTGATAGCAGCTAGACAGAAAGTCTGTGGTGTATTTGTGTTGAGTTTAGTAAATAGTCTGTGGAACTCTGGGGAGACAGAGTGTGTGGACTTGGACAGACTGAATGGATTTACCATTAGGGGTAGGGTCATATGTGCATGGTTTAACAGGGTGGACTGCACCTATTGCCACATTAATGCCGTGTACCAACCAACCACAAATCTTGATGGCATAGCTGGGCTAAGCATTTATTGCTCACACATCAGAGTAAGCTGGGGTTCTGGTTTTGAAGCATCTAGGCTAGCCTCAGATGGGAGCTCTGCTCCCTGAAACTCTCATTCTTTTCTTAGGACCTTTCAGCTGGTCTAGATATATCTTTCTCACAGCAAGTACATACAGTGAAAGCAAGCAGAAACATATGAACTTTCGAGGCCTGGTCTCAGAACCGGCACAGGGTCATTTTCACATCAGTCTGTTACTTACAAACTTGCTTCTATGGATAGAGAAAAGAGCTCTGCCTCTTTAGTGAAAGAAGCTGCAAGTCACATAAAAAGGTGTGGACACGTGAGAGGTGAATAATTGGGACTATCACTACTCTCTATCACAGGGGATGGGTAGGAGTCTAAGAATAAATTGGGAGTAAAAAATTGCTTCTTTTGAAAACTATAAATTTGTTTGCAACTGTAGCATTTTTTTTTCTTCTCCAAGTAATCTACAAGACTTCCAAACAAATTTTTTTCAGTTTGTGAAGCAGAGATGCCAACAGTTCTGAAAAAATTACAAGAAAATTCCACAATTCTCAAAATACCTGTTCTTTTGATTAGGCACATGGCAGCATTTTTTACCATGAGCAAAATGTCTATGAAGAACCTATTAAGAATGAAATTTTGCAAGAAAGTGGTAACATTTAGAAGGAAGACCAATTGAAGATCAAGAACAAATAGGTTACTGTTCTGTTGTCCCTTGAAATCTAGCACCATTTTTTGTTCTATGCCACCATTTGCTAGGTTTAGTTATTGGAAAGAGCAGGCTAGAAATTGGATGTGGGATTCTGAGACTTGTCTGGTAGTGTGACCTTTGTAAAGTAGTGATCTTTCTGTGCACTTTTTTGTTTTATATGTGGATCAGATAAAAATCTTGTTGTAAACTGTAAGGTTCCAAATAAATAAGAACATTTTTACATTAAAAATAACCTCAGAAACCAATCTCACTCTGGAAATCTCCACTGTGACCTCTAATTTAAAGTTCCCTTTACTTTCAAGTCATTTATCAAAATTAATAGATAGTAAAAAGGATGAGTTTGATTTTTCGCTTTTGTATTGTTTTCTCTACTGGTAGTAGGTAGAAAGTGAACTGGCGTTAGACCAATAATTGTGTCAATTGAGATTCTTTCAGTTTCAAGTTCGTGCAAGCAAATTTAGGTCTCAGGAAAAAGATTGGTCTCATTTCAAGGACTTGAATAAGAAGGTAGAGCGTGAACTCTGTTGCCAGTGTCTGGTGCCTAAGGCCAGATTGGGCAGGACAGGAAGAGGTGAAATGGGAGGAAGGGTCACTCCTCAGAGGAACCGGGAGCATATTAGACAATACCTGTTCACTAATAGGAGTATTAAAAACAGGGGTAACCTTACAAAATGAATTCTGTGTACCAACAAATTTTAAAATTCATTTAATTCTTACAACCACCCCTGATGAGGCATTATTAATTATTCATCTTTATTTATATTAATTTTTTTCAAAAAAGAAAATGAGGCACAGAGAAAATAAATAATTTGCCCAAGATCGCATGACTCATTGTGATTTGAACCCCAGTATCTTGACGCTGCCAATACTGTGTACCACAACAAGAAACAGTAGGAGAACGGCTACCTAAAGTATGATAGATTTTGCATGTGCAAAAACCATAGCTCTTCTAGAACACTGCTGGTCCAATAGTATTAGAGTTTATGTTAAGAAAAAGAAACTCCACAAGAATGCAAAAACATAAAGCCCAACACAAACCTGTTGATACATATTGGATATAAACACATCTATATAAGGATTTATGTTAAAATATTAACAGTAGTTATTTCTGAAGAGGGGAGTGGGATGCTGGAGACAAAAAAGAGTGTATTTTATACTCAATAATTTGTATGAAATCTGAATTATAATTTTAAGATATTATAAAGAAATATCCTGACTGGGGAAAAAAATGAAAAGCAAAATGGCCAGACACCAAAAATCAGAAGTTTGTTCTAGACCATTCCTGTATCTTACTTTTGCTGTTACTTTAGGATCTAATGGTGAAAACCACTTGTCACAAATTTATTTTCCCATTTGAGAGGGCAGCACATGTTCTCTTTCTAAAACAGTGTGGATAAGGCAACTTTTCAGAACATACATTCATTAATGCTTCCTATACCCCTCAAAGTCCTATGTGACCTCTAAAACATTAATTATAAACTATTTCAAGTTTACTTGAATTTAGAGTATAACAGCACTTGTTTTCAAACAGCAGTTTTGTAAAATAAAATACTATAAACACATCTGATGCCTTCTGTAAATCTCCTCAATCCAATCTTTCTTAATTGCTTCCCACAGGTCACTGCCAGCAAGTGTATTTCATTTTTTCTACACATACAGCTATAACTTATATTGTCATAAAACACATTTTGTTCTACAACTTGCTATAGTCTCACCTTATTTTTGAAACGTAGTAATGCTCACACACAACTCTAGCTTGTTCATGTTGACTGTTGCATAGAAATCTATCATATAAATACATGTATTACCATCGTTGAGCACTGGCTGGAGTCCCTTTCTGTTGTTATACACAAGGCTGCCATGAACATTTTTGTAGATGTATCCTTATACATGTGCATAAGTACTTCTTTGGAGTAACATGTAAGAGATCTCTAATTTTACTAGATACTGCAAAATTGCTGGTTGTGCCAGTTTATTTTCCCACCAACAGCAAAAGAGTTCCCACTCACTGCTTCATGTTCTTGATAACACTTGCCATCTTGAAACTTACATTTTTCCTAATTTGATGTGGTAGCTCTAGTGTTACTTGTAGTTCCCTGATTATCAGTGAAGAGTATTATTTCCATATACTTGAACTTTTGAATTTTCTCTTGTAAGAATAGTGGGATCATATTTCTGAGTAATCTTTTTGTAAGTTATAGAAATTTTTATGTTTTCATAAATTAAATCTTTCCTATATACTGAAAAATCTGTGTGATTCATCTTTTAACTTTTATAGAACTTAATGTACATTAAGATCTCAATTTTAATGTATTTAAATGTATTGCATCCATCTTTTATGATAGTGCCATTGTGTCTTAAACAATTTTTCATATGCTGAGGTCTGAAAATACTGGATATATTAAGTTTTAAAATACTGTTTTTAAAAGATATGTCTTGGCTGGGTGCAATGGCTCACACCTGTAATCCTAGCACTTTGGGAGCCCTAGGTGAGAGGACTGCCTGAGCCCAGAGGTTTGAGACCAGCCTGGGCAACTTGAAGAGACCTCGTCTCTACAATAGAATCAAGAAAAATTAGTCAGGCATGGTGGCACACATGTAGTTCCAGCTACTTGGGAGGCAGAGGTGAGCCCTTGTCTCTGCAATAAGTCAAAAATTAGCTGGGTATTCTTGTGCGTGCCCGTAGTTCCAGCTACTTGGAAGGCTGAGGTGGAAGGATCGCCTGAGTCCAGCAGGTTGAGGCTGTGGTGACTGTGAGCATGCCATCGTACTCTAGCCTGGGCAACGGAGTGAGACTCCTACTCAGAAATAAAATAAAACAAAATACCCTTGTATTAGGAACTATATTAAGCATTTTACATGTTCAGGCCATGGGCTTTGGAGTTGGAATACCAGGGCTTTAGTGTACATTAGGGAGCCCTGATATATGAGAGGTCTTACTATTACTTGTTTGTTCACTGGCTGAAGAAATTCATGTATCAGGTGACAGATACAAATATGCTGACACCAACTACATTTTTAAGAAAAACACCCCAAATATACAACTGACTTTTATTAAACAGAAAAAAGATCAACATATTTTTCAAAGATGCAGATATCCCAGTAGTTTTAGTGAAAATAAATTTAATATCAGCTTGTTTGAACAAAACTTTTAGAATAAGTAATTAAATTATTAAAGTAGAAACAGAATACCAACAAGTCCTAGACCCCAGAATAGCTGTAAGCCAACAAATTAGGCATTATTTTGCTTAACAGTTTTAGCTTTAATGTAAATATATATTATTATTTAGAATATTAGCCTCTGAACTATATAATGCCTATTTTATCATTTACTTGAAATAAAATCAGGATTTTTGGAACTTCCAAGTAGTCTTTAAAGTTTTCCAATATGGACATAAACTAACCTCTATTCCTCTCTACATAACAAATGTGAAATAACTGTCACAATATATCAACGTTTTCACAGAAAGATTTTTAAGGCTTCTGGCATATAAAATGTGTAATATCTGTGTGACAATGTCATAATTATATACAGAATATACTTAAGTTTTCTTGTGCAATTTAAGTTCTACAGATTAAAAAAACCAAGAGTCCCATGTTAATGAAATATTAAAATACTATGAACTTCCCATGAATTTGATGATGATTTGCAATTACAGAAAGAATGCACAAGATAAGTCTTTCACACTAAGTGATTCGTCATGAAAATAATCATTGAACTGAATAGACTTTTTTTGATATCACTAGTTCTCTTCAGCACAAAATTAGACATAATTAATATAACTTATGTTTCCAATTAAACTATAGCACTGAGGCAGCAAATGTCAGACAATGTTTAACTATTCATGTGTCATACAAATATGTCTTTGACTCTTAATTTATACTTTTGTCTAAGTCACCATTGCAGAGAATGTGTTAAGTGAAATCAATAAAAAGTGATTATTTCTCATTTGAAAAAAACAAATGTCATATACACCTTCTTTTAAAGTTCTAAAGCAGCATATGCAGCTCTTAAGGCAAAAAAAGATTTAAAAAATTATTATAAGTTATAAATTCTGCTAATTCTCCTCCTGGCAATAAAAGCCATAGCACAGATTCTTATATTTTACCAGATAATATATTAGTGTACATCTGAATATACATTTGTCAACATTTTCCGCTGGAATGAAGTTGGTCAGTGAAGTGGAAGTGAAGGGCAGCATGGCGGGGCAACAATTAACGGCCGTCCTGGGCATCAGGGGACACAGAATGGCTGAGTCTTGACCTTCCATTCACAGATAATGTATTTGATGGAATGGTAACCTAAGAGATACAAACACACTTTGCACCCATCAATTTAAAATGGAACTGCTGTCTAATTTTCAATTTTCAACAATTGCCACATTTTAACTTCTGATTAATTGTAAACACTAACATTTAGTATTTATTATTCAATATATTACACATAATCAAGGAAAAAAATGTTCACTCTACCATAAAATTAAAAACAAGAGAGTTGTTATTGCCACAACAAACAAGCTAAATAATCCATTAACACATCTTAGTCTTTACAAAATTACCAAATCAACACGAAGGACAAGAGCACAAACAGACTATAGGCCAAGCTGTTAAAGAGCATTTTTAGCTAGAATAATTTCTGGTTCCCCAAAAGTGCCTTGGAGAAAAATAGAAGAAATAAATTTAATTCCTCAAAGCAATGTATTTTACAAGTTTTGTATTGATGGCATATATTAACTTGAAGTTCCCCTCCTAGTGTCCTCTATTTATTCAAAACAAAACAAATCAAATAGACCTTGGTTTTTAAAATGCTTTTGCATAAAGGGCTAAAAACAAAAGTCAAATCAGGCTGGGAGTGGTAGCTCAGGCCTGTAATCCCAGCACTTTGGAAGACTGAGGTGGGAACATCACTTGAGGCCAGGAGTTCTACACCAGCCTGGGCAACATAGCAAGACTTCATCGCTACAAAAGATTTCTTAAAAATTAGCCAGGTGTGGTGGCATGGGGCAGGTAGTCCCAGCTACTTGGGAGGCTGAGGCAGGGGGATCACTTGAGCCTAGGCGTTCAAGGCTGCAGTGAGTTATGATCAAGCCACTGCACTCCAGCCTGGGTGACAAAGAGAGACCCTGTCTCCATAAAACATAATAAAAAGAAAAAAGAAAAATCAAGTCTTATGACTGTTAGAACAAAACAATTGCAGAATGAAAAGGAGGTTTGCTGTGTTTTTTTTTTTCAGTAAGTAAACATCTAAGTTCCAGAATTCTAAGGAAAGTCTCTATTTGCAAACAGTAAGTAAACAAAAACACTAAAACCAGAATTTCCTAAATAGCTTGAAACTCCAGCTATAGAAGATTGTAAAGAAAGACTATCTAGATTTTGAATAGTAAAAATTTATATTTTGAAATATCAATCATAAAATATAAAACAGATATTTTAAGAAAGTTTATCTCTAGATTATAATTTGACTAATTTAGATTCATGACCAAACACTATCATCTTCTGACAAGAAGAGAACTAAAGTACAAATGGCCAGTTTCTGCCTACCAACAGAGGAAATTAGTAAAAGGAAAATGAAATTGGCAAATTTCATTTGGACTTGGTTTCTTGTGCTTTCTCTCTTGTCTTTAATAAATTAAGACTGGTCATCTAAACTAATGTTTGCTTTTGACTGTTGAATGAATCCTGGATGGAGTAGAGTGGTTGACATTTCACACCTGAAAAAAATGGTGAATAAGAAGAACTGCCACCAGCAGAAGAGAAAATACATCTGCATCCTGTTTAGTATTCATGTGGAATTTCTTTCCAATAGCCTACAAATGACTTTTCATTGTGTCACCTTGGTCCCTAAAGTCTCTGTGTATAGAATAATCTTTTTTGTAATTCTTGCCAAAATTTTGGTTCTCATAATTATTTGTAACGCAAAAGAGAAAATTTGTTTTAGACATTAAAAAATAAATCCTGATAGCCCTAATGTCTCCAAGTAAAAGTAGCTCATTGTAGTATCATACGAAGGACACCCCCCAAAATCTGGAACTATCTTTTGGAGGATAGGCCTTTTGTAGTACAGGCTCCCCCCACAAGGTAAGTGTTCTAGGAACCCAACAGCATCAGTGTACCAGTCAGCATTGTTGTGAGAGGCTGCGTTCAGCTCCAGTGAATTTTTTTTTTTTTTGGAGATTCTTTCAATGTGTTGCCCATTTCATAATGAGTGATTCACAAGCACACTTGCCCATGCTCCACTGAGTGTTCAGGAGTTTTAAACCAAAAACAACATAACCCCCTCCACCGTGTGCTCCATTCTCCTTATTCACCAATCTTGCTCTGAGTAACTTTTTTTGTTACCCAGGATGAAAAAAGTCCTCAAAGGGAAAAGTTTTGCCTATGTGGAAGAGGTGGGAAAAAAAAACAACAGCAGAAGCACAAAAAGGCATCAAAATTGACAAGTTCAAAACTGCTTTGATCAGCGTGTCTCAATAGGTGTATTGCATTAAATGAACAGTGCTTTGAAGTGACCGAAGTTTACACATGTAAGAATAAATACACAATATTTTAATAAATGAATTCTGGTTGTTTAGGGTCCTCTCTTAAATAGAGAATCCAGTTAAACATTCACCGATAAGGAGCATAAGCTATAAAGCTATATTACATTCATATAGTCAAATACTATGCAATCTTAAAAAGAATAGTGTACATATATATGTAATAACATGGAAAACTTCAAATATATGAATGATTTGAGAGAATTCCATTTTTGTAAATTAAATATGTTTATATACTTCAAAAGTGATCTAGAAGGTTACATAGCCATCTATCAAAAGTGGTTACTTTTGCAGAAAAATAGGATTTGCTTTGATATTTAAATCCTTGTTTGCTAAATATTTAAACATCAGAAAACATCATTAGAATACTATTCTATAAATTCTAAGGTCAAAGATCTTATCCATGCCACTTTATAACCAGTTTATATCAATGTATATTTTAATGCCTGGCACAATGTAGTGCTCAATGAATATTTCTTGAATGGAATATGGTTACTTTTTACAAACATTTATAAAGCAAAAAAAGTATTGCTTGAATTTTTGACCAAGGAACATATCATACTTTTAATACAGATGCTTTAAAAAATATTAACATTTAAGAACTTACTAATGTGAATATCTACTAGTCAACTGTCTACACTTGAAGTTTAACTAATTTTTAGCAATTTCATACAGCTTTTTTATTTCTATAAGGAACATTAACTATGAAAATTTCTATGGTTTACTTTTACTTTAAAAACATAGAAACTGCTGCCAACATGAAAACCCTTTGGTTATTCAAATTAAGATAAAGGAAATATGAAAAAAAAAAACAAGCAGATCAGTTAAATAAACAAAAAAGCTAGCAAGATTCTGGATGACTTATTCAGTTGTTCCCTTCCTTCCAGGCTTCTCGAGCCAAAGATAAATTTTACATTCTGAGAAAATATTGACATATAGTGCCAAATACTGTTCATTAGAGTATCTTCAGATCTTATTTTTAAAAACCTATATTCTATTTATCATAGTATAATAACTTGACTTTTAGTAATTTAGTCACCATGAATGGTTGAAAATAGCCAGAGCCGTTCTTGTGTCAACATAGGCCAATGGTAATGGATTAATCTGCCTTATTCTCTATTAATAATTTGCTGATTCATATATGTCTTAATATCAAACAATTTATAAAATATGAGCTAGATTTATCAGTGCTTTATAGGAAGACAAGACTAATTTCTGTGACCACGTAGGAGTGCAAAGGGGGTAAGGTATGGAAAAATGCTTCAGAAACCTAAAAAATAAGGCATGTTCGTTACTACATTTACACTAGAGCAATCAACTAGATAATTGTTCTAATATGAACCAGCCATTATAATGAAGGTTAATTGCTCGGGTATGAACCAGAGTCATAAGGCAGGTTGGTACCTGAAGTTAAATTGAACATTTGGGTGCCAAGATACAGACAAACACAGAGCCAACTTTCTGATGAACAATCTAAACCTACTGTCAAAAATCACTGGAAATTTTATTTGGCAATATAATTGCTGTTCTATAAAAGAAATGTCAGAATTTAAAAGATACTAGGATAAATCTTCAGTAAAGGACAGAAACATGGAATTCAAGCAAAGATCACAAGAAATTAGGAGCCTGCTTGTATCCATTTTCACCATCTTTTGTAGTTTTTTTGAAATAGAATATGTGTACAGAAAAGTAGAGCTCAATGAAAGCAGGCAGACATGCATACAACCCACCACTCAGCTCCAACCCCCACATATCTTACCTTTATTTAAAGATGTTTATATTTTCTTCAACATAGAATTTTTTTACTAATTTTAATATTTTTATCACACTAAAATAACATTTATTTTTATTACTTAGTTTTTTTATCCCCCTTAAATTGTGTGCCTTTCCTATCTCAATAGGCCCTCAACAACCCCTTCTTTTCTGTATAAACTTTATAATTACTTCCTTGATTTAAAAAAAAAAAGTCACATGAGTATGTATCACTAAATAATAAAAATTAGTTTTGTATGCTGTCAAATTTTACACATTTTTGTGTGTTTCTGTTCATGTTGTTGAGTTTCACTGCACTTTGTTCATTTTATTGCTATATGATAGTCCACTAATTGAATATATCATTTATTCTACTAACTGAATAGTAAGGTTATATTTGGGGATTTTACAAATAACATTCCATGAACATTCTTATATGTGAGTCTTGGCACATAAGAACACAATTTGTTAGAAAAATTAGAAGGGCAAAATGCTGGTCATGAAGTGTGGATACTGTGAACTTTACTAGATTCTATATCCATTGTTAGTGAAATGAAATGGATTATGGATAGAATTTTCATTAAAGAAACTTAAGAGCTGGCACTGCATATACTCATAGCTATCGATAACCTCCTATGGAAAGAGATAAAATTTTAGATTCAATAGAATCTAAAATAATGAGTTTTATACAGGAAACAAGTATAGGATCACCACTTAGTGCATAGTGTCTGTGTTGACTCATATCCAGCTCATTCTGGAAGCAATAGAGTTTTCTGTGTGAAAAAATCTGCCTGGTCCAGTTCCAGAGCACAGCAAGTTCATAGCTGCTGACCTATACAATTCTGTTGGTCTAAAAGCCATTTCAAACTTAAAGCACAGTTTCTGCAATTAGTTCATTGAAACTGACTTCGCTGACTTAGTACAAAGGCATGGCAATCAGTACCTGTGTAGTTACTTGGTTCTCCCATGACTTGATACACTACTGTTTCTCAGGACCAGGCTGGGAATGCACAGAAGGCAGAGATTTCATGTTATTCATTTTGGAATTTTCAATATTTAATACAAGTTTTGGTACTTACATGCTTTTTAAAAAATGCTTGTCAAAGTTATTGAACTGAGAAAACAGCGATGACTGGTTTTGAAACTCATCCTTAATTTACAAGATCAGAAACAAAAATTTTCATAAGTGAAGATGTGTAATTTATAAATGTAGGCATATATTCCTTCCAAAAATATAAATTTGTCATGACCTGTGAAATATCAGTTTCAATATTCTTTACCAAATTTTTATGCTGCCTGGTACCTAAAACCAGACTCTACAAATAACCTAAAAAAAATTTAAACTTAATCCCCTGAATTATTTCTTCCTGTTTCCTCCACTCCTGACAGCACCCAGTATTATGCCTTGTCTCCATGTTTGTCTAGATGACAGTGCCAAGTCCTCTGGGAAGGAATGGCTGTCATTCACAGCTATACACAAACACATTGAGGAAACTGGCTTAAGCAGTCTGGCCAATGTTGATGTGGTTGAAAGGCCCAGAAAGCCTTTACTCATTTTTTTCTATCTTTGTAGCATGCCTGTTCCTTTACAAATTTAATTTCTCTCAATGTTTTGGTCAACAAACCTTTTCCTCTTCTCTAAATGGCTTTTAAAATGATCTGAGAAGGAATTCACAAAATGAAATGCCTAGGGAGTCAGTGGAATAACAAGTACTTTCATTGTCTTAGTTGTTGAGGTGTTTCTAAGAGAACTAAGAGGAGAAGACGACAGAGATGTAGGGAGATGACTCCCTTTGGGGAGTCTAACTGATGATGTCTTGCTCAAAGCTTCCCATATTCTCTCAGTGGATGAAGGGAAACCAGGGAGGAAATTCTCCTGCAATGAATTCCCAGAGATATTTGTTAGGTATTTACCCTGAGAAGAAACTTTATCTCCTCACCTGATGCTTTCCTACACCTTGGTAAGAAGAAACTAGACAACTTTAGAAGGACATTACCAAGACGAAATTCTACATGGGTTCTCCTATAAATTCTCTAGAGTTTCTCCACTTTCCTTGGTTTAATTTATGAAACTCTTCCTTATATACCACATATGGTAGTAACTTTATACACCGCAGAAGATATGGCTAAAAACTTGCAGGTTCCTGTCACCCATCTAACCTTTCTGGAATAGGAAGAATCTTTATTGTGGTGCTAATATAATTACTTAAAATAAGAGTCTGGGGCACTTTCTCTATATGGTTATGTAAGAATGAACAAAACGCAAGTTCTGCACCTGGCTGATGTTGTGGAAAACAAACCTGACATATTTTTAAATATGTGTAAGGCTCTGGACTGTTTCAGCTTACACTTCAAAAATGACTCCTTACATAAAAGAGTAACTTCTGGATCCCTATTTAGATTTAAATGCTAGAAAAATTTTTTCCCCTAAGTATTAGTTTGACAATGTTGAAAATAAACCCACTGCCAGCCATCTGATGAAGAAAACTTACCCTTTTCAATTTGGCAGCAGCCTCTCCAGAACGGATTGCAGTCAGCAAACTCTGTCGAATCTGTTCTGGGTCAGAGCTTTGGAATGTTAAAGAATTTTGTCTCTGAAGGGTGAATGATGGACAGACAGTTGGAGTCAGTATTTGGGAATTCTCTTCATTACGTGCAGAGTTATTTTCCTACAAAAATAAATGTGAAATATTTATACGAATACCAAGAGAAGAATGGGCCATTTTTGCAAAATGTTTTCATCATCAGTAGTTCTTTAAGAATCATCATTTACCACACTGGTGTTTCAGACACAGCTCTATCACCTCACCCACTGAATTATCTCTGCTGCCACAGCTAAGTTGGAAGATGAGGGCATTGTTTTTCTTCTCTTGAACTCAAGACGCTAAGAAAGGAAAATGATACCTCTCCTTGTTTCATAAATACAGTGATAATTTTACTGTGCTTGAGTCAAATACATGAAGTTGACTAGAAAAGTCAAATTAATAATAAAAAAATTTCAAATACTAAAAAATGAGGCATTTTTATGGTACCAACATATTAGGCTGTGAAGTTACTTTTTGTAAATGTACAAAACAGTCAAATATTGGCAATTTCATATTGGTTGAATCTAATATACCTTGTAATAAAGGAATACTAATTATTATGCTATACTTAATAGTTTCTGGAAGTCACAAAGACTAAATGTTGACCATATTTTATTCTTCCCATGAAACTAAAATTAAAAATTAGAAACTTCCAAATTGAAGAATCAAAATTTAGTCAAGCGTCTTAGGAAAGAATATTTAGTAACTGAATTAACTGGCATATGTTATCAAGTAATCTTAAAAATGTCTTTTTCAAACTGCCAAATATCTTTACAAAAAATGAGCTCCACAGGGCTCAGGCAATGCCTCAAAAACTGTATTATCTAAATCAAGCTTCCACTGTTTAGAAATAGTATTCTATTCTAAGAAAAAACACAGGCTTTGTTCCCAAATAATTAATTTTTAGATCATACATCTCTTCCTGATGCTATATCAACAAAATAAACACAAATGTAAAATATAAGAAGAAATGTTCAAGATAAATGCTCTTTAAAATTATGGAAAAATATTTATTTGGCAATATGGTTAATATTCTCTTACTTTAAGAATGTTTGAAAAAGTAGTATTAAATACTTCTGGGAACTGTCACACAAATATAAAAGCATTCTTTAAACACTATCAGAGTAAAAGTACACCAAGTATTTCTTTAAAACTGCTGTAAGATTATCGTGCTTCATGTTGTGAGTTTCATCCTCTCCTTTGATATTATTTGAACCTAGCAAAATACAACACTTAGTTAATCAAACACTAAATCAACAACACTTCTTTTTGGTAAATTTTCAAATTAGATAGTAGCTAGATGGTATTTTGATCAACATGTACATTACTGTTAAAAAAGTTGACACTGAATTAACAAAATAGGGAATTAAGAAAAGTAAATGTATAACTGTTTTCAATTTAAACTATTTATATGTAATAATGTTTGGTAAACTGAGGTTAAATGTATATGATGGAAAATGCACAGTTGAGAAATGCTTAGTTTTTTTTCCTGGTCTTTGATACTATTTATGTTTCTATTTCATTAAAACCATTCATTTTTATTAATAGTACAGTAAGATTGGAGAAGAAAATAAGCAGACCAGAGCATCCAGAAAAGTTAAAAATAAATTAAGATGAGAAAACACAGGAAAATAGTCAGGACCATAGACTAGTACATCATTGTAAGAGCAAAGAAACTTTAAAACATTTGCTAATGACACAACCATATAATGATGACCTTACAGTAATACTTGAACACATTATATGAATTACAATAATTCTCAGAGTAAATAATCAAATTCTATGTATTACCACTCTTTTCCTTGCAATAGCTTAATATCAGATTAATGTGAATTCAGTTAAGTAGCACACACATACACCGACATTCTTGTAAACCCCCATGTTAACCATGTTGTTAAATCTGAATACTTCTTTTCAAAGAGGTTACACATTTACCTTATCAATCACCTCAGGCTGTGGGATGTCCACACATTTATTTACAGAATGAGTCTTCTCTTCCTCTGTGTTGGCTGGAGGTTGGGCAGATGCCCCTTCACTGCATGACTCAGTACGTGTTTTACTGAAAGACTGTGACCTTTTCACTACAGCGAGGGCAAATGGTGAAGGACCCGAATTTGAGTATGGCCGTGGGGCACCAAAAGTTTTCAAAGTCTTCAGATTTAGCGCTGCTGCCTGGCTAGTGGGAAGAGTCCCAGGTTTTGGTGCTACGGGGGGAGGAGGAGAGGTTTCCGTGGGCTTCTGACTGACGATGTCATCATCCGTATTTTGAATTTGGGGTTGTGAGACAGAGCGAGCTGTTTTACTTAAGGGAGAAAGAGTCTGCTCAGGAGGAGGCAGCATATCCTTTCCTACCACCTTATTTGGTAATTCTTTTGGAGTAGGACTGGGGGCAGCGTGGGCATTCTTGGCTGCAGCAGATGTCACATACTGGCCAGATGCTCTCTTCTGCATCTGCAAGAAAAAAGAACTGGGTTTTGTCTGGGAATTTGAAGCCCGAGATTTAAATTTTGACTCCAAAATATTGTTTATATCTTCCAAATTTGGTGCAAAAGGAGCTGTGCCAGTGTCTCTTATCACTTTGGGAGGTCTCAGAGGATTAACGATGGCACCATCCGATGAGCTCACAGCACTGTGCACCTCATTCTCTGTTTTCAAGTTAGGCTTAGGTTTAAGGTCTGGTGGTGACTCCTTTGGTCCAGCAGAAATGGCAGGCTCTTCTGTTTGGATGGCAGTTTCTCTCACATTCTCATCAGTGGGCTTTTTTACTAAAGTATATATCTCTTGATCATCTTTATACCCTACAGTTTCCGATTCCCAGTCTTTTGATATTTCCAAGGATTTGGGAGGCACTATTTTATAAGTAGTCATTCCGATTTTGGGTATATACTCTCGTGTGATTTCGTTTGAAGGTTTTGGCTTGGAGTTGTAGTCCTGTCTGTAAAATGGATAATTCTTCAGGTAAGAAGCATTCGAATTTTTGTCAATCCTATCTACAGAAGGCAAAAGATCATCATCACTACGTGCACAAATTGGATCTTTCATGGTAAGACGCTCTTCTGAATGTATAATTAGGGTGTCTTGACTCCTGAATTCCCTTGAGGTTTCTACAGAATCTTGTGAACTTAAGGATAAATGTTTAGTTGATTTGTTATTTGAAGTTTTCACACTTTCATTAATTTTAAAGTCAGACAAATAATGATCTTGTTGATTCCCACAAAAACTGTTACTGGAAGGGGTTGTCTGAATTGCTGCATCTTGCATTTTTGTCTTTTCTGCATCAGGTTGATTCATTTTTTGATCTGGTACCGATGAAGCTGCTAGATGGTTTTCCTTGTAATTTACAGTAGTATGAGTTTTATGTACCCGAGAGTCTGATAGTCTGACAACATCCGTGTCCATGTCGTTATTTTTGGCAACAGCTCCTACAGTGATTTCTGTTTTCCTCACTCCATTTTTTATATTATCGTCTCTGTTCTCTGAAAAGATAATTATTTAATTTTGAGTCATTGAGAAAAAAATATTGTCAAGTTAAAAATATGAAAAAAAGCAGAAAAACTCATTTTCAGTGCCTAACTTACCCAATCTGAAATAGGATGGTTTGAATTCTACAGATAATTTTAAAATCACTAACTATACAAAAGCAAGTAGTGGCATACAGAGAAAACAGTATGGGCTTTGGATTCATAGAGACCTAAATTTGGAACCCCTGGCTTAAAAAGTATAGCCACAATATGCCAATTAACTTATTTGAGCCTCAGTTTGCTCAGATGCAAAAAGGCGAAAATATGCATTTTATATTATATACATCATTTATACAGCATGCTCCGTTAGGATGGGATATTGACCAGAACACAAAGACTCCATAGAAAGTAGCTGTGTTTCTTCTTAGAAGAACTTCGTATTTCAGTCATTGTTAACAATGACGAAAGAAAGAAACAGACAAATTTTAAGACTGTATTTTTTTCCTTTTTTCACATTTTTAAGGACAAAAAAAAAATCTGTCTTTTCTATAGCCCCTAGTATATTTATATTTTCATACCTAACATTAAAAGGGAAACAAATACCAGCAAATGTTGTCAGTTTTAATGAAGGCATATAACAGATTATATTACCTTTAAGATTTTAAGTAAAAATAGAATCTAAGTTGATAGTCATGCTAATTAAGTGTCCCTAAAACAGAATCTAAGTTGATAGTCGTGCTAATTAAGTGTCCTTGCTAAAGACTTTTGGAGGACTTTGTTTTTAGTTATAACTGGGTGATTTCGACTACATAAAATTGATCATATTGGTTTTGATTTTTCTCTGTGGTAAAAGGCACCCTTATTCTAGAGTCTGAGTCAAAGTAGAGATAACAACCCCCTCTCCTCTGTACTACTTTTCCTCTTGATTCTAATTCAGACCTCCTGAAAATGACAATCATTTGCCAGTATCTAGGTGAACAAAGCAACAGCTTCCAGTCAACAACATGATGGCATAGCACTGGCATGAAGCATCTGGAAGAAAACACAGGTTTATGAGTCTGTACCATGTGTCTAGTACTGAGCTGCGTAATTTTTGTACTGTGCTCCTCTATTCAAATGCCCTAAAGAATCATGCCCCCTGCATGACCACTACCCTATCTTCAAAACCTAGCAGCTATCCTTTTCAGATATGGTAGTAATTTGCACACCATAAGGGAAATGGGAGCCCTAGGAGTCAACTTGTGAAAGAATATCATGTATTTCTCTGTAGTGTATCACCACCCACTTTTACGTATAAAAGGATGAGACCAACTACACTGCCTAAAATGCAATGAGCTACATAATGCAGTCCCTTCTGTTAAACAGAAAAAAGCCATGTACGCAAAAAATGCATTGTTAGGTAAATTTATATACAAACAATATTTTAAGATATCTTCACATTTTTAAACTGCCTATTTGCACTCATTTGGCTATGGCAGTTGATATTCCAAATTATGTTGCAAGACTCCTATATTCAACATGTACTTTTTAAAGTATAATTCATTTTTATTCTTTGCAGATAAAATGTAACTGATTATCAGAATACATATTATCTACTTGAGTAACTTCTTTTCTCAATGACCAATAATTATAAACTTTTGCGATTTATAAAATTAAGGACATGTGATTAGAAACCATAGAAAAGGCACATTTTGGCCTCTGCTTTAATTTACTTGGTTCATAAGTATTTTAAAATATTTGTATGAAAAGCACTACTCTGAACATTGTTATAAGCATGAAAGAATTTAAGAAATGATCCCCGGCAGCAGGAAATTAGCTAAATGTATTTCCTTCTCTTTTATTTCTCATTTTCCACAGAAGATAAGTATTTTCCAGTTTACATAAGAGAAACATTTTCTAAAAGAAAGTAAATCAATGTAAAAAATATATTTTAAATTACATCTTCTATAACAAACCCTCATTTATTGGTTTTAGAACTCCAAATTTCTGTCTTTCAACTTTTCAGTGGATATCTGCTTTACCATTGTCTAACTCTGAATTTCTTATCAACATTTCATGATATTCTCAATAATCATCGGCCTTGAAACCTAGAATGCACTGTCATAAATATCTGACAATGATTCTAACCAAGTCTATCTATGGCAAGGTCATTTTCCAAGGACGGCCAGTAGAGGGAGAAGGCGACTTTTGTACTATTCTGCCCCCCACTCAAAACTGATGCTGACATTTACAACCTTATGAAAGGATGATTTAGATTTAGATTAGTAATTTAGACAAGAGTAGGTAAAAAGAAAGACAGACTAAAACTATGTTAAAAATAATAGAATTAATTTTTTTTAAAAACTATACTTGACAAAAGTCATTGCAAACCATGCACAAATCAAAATAAATACTGCATGAATGTACTTGTGAGTCTAGCACAAACCTGACATCAAAAATCTTAGCAAAAATGATTCAATTTGACTGTTATGTTAAAGAGAAGGAAATAACTTTTCAACCATAATGTCTCAATATAATACTACTGCCACCAAAGTATATGCTATAAAAAAACTGAATAAAGAGGAAAAGAATGGGGAAATTATTTATTTTATACCTTCTCAATATTTAGATATTGAGAGGAGAATGAATCAGAGACATAATATTCAAGCTAACAAACACATAACACTCATATAAAATGAGATACATATTTGTGTGTGTGTGTGTGTGTGTGTGTGTATGTGATATTGGGATTATCCATGTCTTATTCATATATGATTATATTCCTATGTTTTCAAGGACTCTTAACCTAGTTTTGTGTATTAATATAATAGATTGGACTATGAGAATTCATAAGCCACTTTCTTCTTATCCGCTTAAAGACTATTGTGTATTCCTTGAATTTTCTATTACTGTAGAAATATTTTTTTGAAATTCAATCCTTTATATCTATTTTAAGAGTATCACAGTATTCTGCAGGGTGCTGAGGAATTGAAACAAAGTATCAAATATAACTCCACTGATCCAGTACTGTCCAATACAGTTGAATAGTCAGGATTAGAGAACCACGTGGCTTCTAATAATCTAGTAAAAAAAAATAATGAAATGGTAGGAATTGGAAATAAATTGCATGAGTAAAGTAGATGAAACTGTTTTCCATGCAAAGACAATATGATAGGCCTAATGATAGAATTAAGTGAATTAGAGCCTGAGAAAAAGAAGAAACTGTCTTGATTTACAGATAAGAATTAGGAAATAGTAGTAAATAAGGTTATATAATTAGATGGTTTGGGCCTTGGAAATCAGGCAGACAAGTTTCATCCAAGGTATAGGAACTTGAGTATAAAGTAAAACAGGCTTGGACTAGGGAGTTAGAAGGAAAAATGAAAAATAAATCACAAGTAGATAGATAGAAGATACATCTTTAAGATCCAAAATCTAAATTAGATTATTGCTAATATTTAATAACAACCACAATAAAAGGTAGTACACATCTCAAGAGCATACTTTAGAGTATTACTGCCTGAGTTTAAATTCAATGTCTACCACTTACTAATTATGGGATCTCAGGCAAGTTATTTAATATCTTGGTGACAAAATCATATGTAAAATGGGACTAAAAATATTAGTACCCACAACAGCCACAAATGAGATCGGTATTAAATGAATCAATATGAGTCTAAATGAGTTAATATATATAAAGTGTTAATAGTCCCTAGCACATAATAATATTATAAGGAATTGGCAATAGTGGGATACCGCCAGGGTTGAGGTTGGGGGAACAAACCACCAAAAAGGGTACCTGATCTCAAACCAGGCAAAGTGCGGACCAAAGGGAGACCCAAATTTTACCTGTATGATGTCCACTTGTATACCTAACCCTGAATTGTACCATACATCTTTCAAATAAAATATATATTTAAAAGAGTAGTATTATAAAAGTGTTGGCTACTAGTGTTTATGTAACTCACCATTCTTTTGGTTTGGGCACAATGACATCAAGTTTCTCTTACTAACAACTACCATCTCTTCATTGCTTGCATCGTGTTCTAAATTCTGTGATCCCCTGAAAGATATGATATTGTATGTTATATGTTGATACAATTCACACACACACCACACCATACACCCCTCTCCCCCCCCACACACACTGAGAACAGGCAAGATTTCAAAGGACAGATGGACTAAAATAATCATCTTTTTCTGCCAAATACTAGAAATTTAATAGCAAAGAAAAAAATACAACTTAGAAGAAATGCAGCTATAAAACATGAGCTTTCATGTGGTAGTCTATTACAAAAAAAGATGCAAGAAGCTCGGTAAATAGACACTCTTCCAAAATAGTATCTTTATTTTGTTATTGGTTGTTTGACTTTTAAAGAAAAAAGAAATTAAATGAAACATTTTGCATCTCGCAAGGTCAACTGTATAAATTAAAATGTGGATTGACCTCACTGATTTTTGTGTGTGTGTGATAGAATAGTTTAATTTGAAGCCAATCCCATGCAAATTATAATAAACCTCTGATGAAAATGGTTTCTTTTACTTGATTGATTTCATCTTTATTCATGGTGTTACATTTCAGACATGATATAAGTAGACTAGACTATAGCTTTCCATTCCAAAGATCAAGTGGAAAGTATATTTCCTGCATCATAAAATTGACTGCAAAAATAATTCTGGTGATTTAACATCATATTTTAACATGTAGAACTGTTTTGTAGCTCAATCAGTGAAAATCCTTAAGGAGTATTTAATAAAAATTGAAAATTAAATGTTACATTTAGGCCAAACAGGTAATAGGCAAAACACACACAGACAAACACAGACACACCTTAATTTCTGAGTCATAGAAATTAACTATATATTATGGTTTATCTGACATAGGAACATTAGAACTGATTTGATTTTCTTTGAAATAATGACATGCAAATAAATACTTCATTAAAAATATTTTTATAATTATAGTTAATGGAATGTAGTCTAAACCAAAAGGCAGACTATATTTGTGTTTAAAATATCCGATCTGGCCGGGCGTGGTAGCTCAAGCCTATAACCCCAGCACTTTGGGAGGCCAAGGTAAGAGGATTGCCTGAGTCAGCAAGTTTGAGACCAGTCTGCCAACATGGTGAGACCTCGTCTCTACAATAAAATAAACTTTTAAAAAAGATGTTCAACAATCCAAAATAAATCAGATCTATATTTCAGAAGAATAGTATTAATAAAACAAACCACCACCAACACTTCTGGCACACAGAGTACTTACTGTCCATCTGTGTTTCTAGCTTCCTGTTTTTCTTCCTTGGAGTTTTGTAAGGACTCTCCACTATCAATGCCGGGGGCTGAGTCAGGATCATTTTTTGGGATATTTATTATATCAGGGGATACAAAAAGAATATCTTGTGACTTCAGAGAAACATTTTTAGCCTCGTCTTCAGGCACTTCACTCAGTTCTTTCCTTTCATCTATTTCTTCAAGGCCATAATCAGAGCTTACTCCAGCTACAAAGAAATGCAGATATAACCCTATATATTAACTTGCCTCATTCATCCTACACAATCCTGACAAGGAAAGAATTGTAAAAATAATAATTATCTGGACTCTGGCTCAAAAATAATAGTGAAATACTTTTGTACTGGTAGTCATGTTAACATACAACTAGATTATCTCAGACTCATATAATTCTAAAAGCAATTTGCTATCTCTAGGTTTTATTCATGGTAGAAGCAAGAGGTCATTTAATGACATAAACTTCAATCTAACTATTTCATTTAAGAACACATCTTTCAGTTATATGATTTTTACATACATGCAATAGCTCAGTAATGCAAATTAAATAATTTTAAAAGTGAAAATTAAAAGAACATGAGATTTTTGTGCTATTTACAAGTGCACTTATAAAATTTGACTTACTGGTTATCAGTATTGACTAGACTTTGAGAATTCTCTGAGCTTCTTTTAAAAATACTGAGAGTTGAGCCGGGCTCGGTGGCTCAGTCTGTAATCCCGTGCCTTTGGGAGGCTGAGGTGAGTGGATTGCCTGACCCCACAGGTTCGAGACCCACCTGGGCAGCAAGACCTCATCTCTACAATAAATCAAAAAATCAGCCGGGCGTGGTAGCGCACGCCTGTAGTTTCAGCTACTTGGAAGGCTGAGGCGGAAGGATCGCCGGAGCCCAGCAGGTTGAGGCAGCGGTGGCCGGGAGCGGCCACTGCACTCTAGTCTGGGCGACAGAGCGAGACTCCAACTCAAAAAAAAAAAAAAAAATTAAAAATTAAAATAAAATAAAAATACCGAGAGTCACAGAATCTCTGAAGGGTAGGGCCTAGAGTTTTTAAGACTACTTAGGTGGCTCTAATGTGCAACCAGGATTAAAAGCTACCAATCTGGGTGCTTGACATAATATTTAAAAATACATATACAGCAAGCATCAGACAATGAAAATAAATTGTTATTCCTACCCAGTTTGACTGAAAGGCAACCTCCTTTCACAATTTTTTTCCTGTATATCCTCAAAAACATAATAAGCTGATATCCATACTTACCTGTTTCCTTTTTTCTTTGTTGCTAGTTTAATATAAACGAAAACATACTGTACCCAATGTTTCTCATCTACCTTTTTTTCTTCGCTTATTGCATCTTAAACATTCTTTCATAGTACTACGTGTGTATGTGTAATTCTTTTCAATAGCTGTGGCTAATATTTTGTTGTGCTAAAATGTGTTTTATCACCAACAACCAATAACCAGCAGAGAAAAAGAGAAGAAAGCAGCCTAACCAGTTAATGTCCACACTGACTGTCGAGATTCGCTGTGAAGCTAAATGTAAACCAAAGAGTGAGGTTCTAGATCTTTCCTTATTTAAATATAATTTAAAATTTTCATTTACATAATAACATCTGAATGAAACCTGATTTTATCCCAAGAGGGATAAAGGGGTAAAGGTGATATAGCATTGGATTATAGTGACCAGCACATACACAAAATTTAATAAAATATTTAACATATTTGAATATTTAAAGTACTTAAAATGTATTTCTTTAATTTTATCTTTAGGCATACAGGTGGAAAAGTATGCTAGTTGTGCTCTCTAAGAAACAAACATGAGAAATTTTAATGGTTTTTTTTATTGTTAATAAAAATTAGATTACTCAATTAAAAATACTAAAGAATTTAGGTCCCTGATCTCAAACCAGGTGAAGTGGGAACAAAAGTGAGGGCCAAACTTAACCTGTACAATGACTATTTGTATACCTAACCCTGAACTGTACCCATATCTTTGGGGGGAAAAAAAAAAGAATTTAGGTATAAGTGAATTTTCAAATGTACATATTTTGGCAAATGTTGCTTTATCATGACATGAAATAGTCATCATGATGTCAGAGTGCAATATAACATATCTATGATAGCACATTACGTCTATGTAGTATGAGCGTGTTCATATAATTTGAAAACTATGTATTGAGAAAAATGAAAAGCCATGCCAATTTAGATATAAATGTGTTTTATAAATAACACTTCAGTACATTATTAAGTTCCTTTGGAAATTACATTAACTAAGGCAACATTTAGCAAGTTATCAATCATTATTCCTACTTCTCTAGTCTACCACAAGTATTTCAGAATCACACAACTGAGAAAGGGTTCTCAACTGATTGAAATATGAAGAATGAGTTACATGTTTCAAAAATCTTTTAAAATTATTTTCCCAGGATTTAATAACTTGGTAGTTACAGACATCACATAGGCTTGCTTCAATACATTTTTATTACCTTGAAAAGTATTCCTATCATTAAAAATCTGGGAAAGTCAGTGATTCTTTTAAAAGTTCTATTCATTAAGTAAATTTTTATAGTCTGCTGTCTGATTAGTACAGATTCCCTAAGCTTTGAAAAATACTAAGTTAAGTTTGTTTTGTTTTGTATGTGTTAACACACTTACATAATGATCAAATTCTAGGATTATTATAAAAAAGAAATTGAAGTGGGGACTTTGAATAATGACTAATTTTCACAAATGTTATATCACAACTATCATATTTTGGCTTTATAAGCTCTAAAGAATATTCATTTTCAAAGAACACGAATGTAAAATCTTAGAGGAAATTTAAGAATTAACTCAAAGTATAAATGTTTAAAAAAATTGCAAAAAAGGCATTTGGAAGCATAATTATTTAAATTTATTTGATACATACTTAGCTTTATATAATTTAAACATTTTTATCTTAGTTTTTTTTCAGTATTTCTGAAGATAGCAAATATTGACTGAAATAAAAAGTAAAATTAAAAAATTATTTAAAATTCACAAAATGGAATACATGTAAAAGGATTAATATTTAAGACTTTAAAAGTAGCATTTTACTGAGAAGTTATTAAAGTAGAAAATTTCACTAGAACTTTTGGGATATCTTATAAACTGATCATCAAATAGCAAGTTGCCTAACAAATGCTATTCTTTGCTAAAACAGAACTATATGAAATCTATTCTAGTGTACTACCTCTGCTTATTATTCATTTACATAAAAAATGCCCACTATGTCAAACACTAGTGTAGCTGCTGCCCACATGGTGGTTTTTTTTTTTTTTCACCTTTTGAAAATGACATGCTGGAAAATTCATCATTTTTGGAACACAGGTCTTTGAGTTTTAACAGGTTAGTTGTATAACCACCACTACAATAAAGATATAGAAGAAATCCATCAACTCCCTACCTTCCTCTATGCTCTCCTCTAATCCCTGCCTCTAGCCACCAATATCCCTACACTTTGCCTTTGTAAGAATGTTACATGAATGAAATCATGTAACAGCTAGCCTTTTGAGTCTGGCTTCCTCATTTAACATCAAACATACAAGATTCAGTCATATTGCCTTATTAATCAGTTATTTGTTCCTTTTTATGGCTAGGTAGCCATATTCCAATATATGATTAAACCAGTTTGTTTACCTACTCCTCAGTTTCGGGGTGTTTGAACTGTTTCCTAATTTTGGCAACTATGAATAAAAATGCTATAACAACTCGCATTGTGTGGGCAGAAACTTTTGTTTTTCTTGAGAAAATACCTGAGAGTGAGATTGTCAAGTCATATAGAAAATGCATATTTACGTTTTATTTAAAAAAAAAAAATCAAACCATTGCAAATGTGGCCACATAATTTTGCATTGCCACAAGCAGTATGGGATAGTATACTAATCTTAAACAAACGAGGCTGGGGTGGTGACTCATGCCTATAATTCCAGCTCTTCGGGAGGCTGAGGTAGGAGGATTACTTGTGCCCAGGAGTTTGAGACTAGCCTAGGCAATATAGTGAGACCTTATCTCCATTTAAAAAATAAAATAAAAAATTAGTCAGGCATGCTAGTGTGTGCCTGTGGTCCCAGCTACTCAGGAGGCTGAAGTGGAAGGATCACCTAAATTTAGGAGTTTAAGGCTATGGTGAGCCATGATTGTGCCACTGCACTCCAGCCTGGGCAACACAGTGAGACCTCAACTCAAAACAAACAAACAAACAAAAAACCCAACTGGTTTGAGGCGATAAAGATTTTTCCTGAGTCAATGAAAAATTGAGAAAAAGAATGATAAGATTCAAATATCACCTAACTGTAAAGCTTTGCCATCTTGTAACAAAATAATTCCAATAATTTAAAAATAAAAAATGGAAAACAATATTGTATGTAGAAAGCCATAGATAGATATAAAAGTAGTTCAATAAGGGGTATATATATATAAATATACTTTTATATATCATATATATTTATACATTGAAGACAATAAAGATCAAGCACTGTCCCACAAAAAAAGTAGAATGCCAAATAGAAAGGAAGCCAAAATCTTTCAGAGCCACTATTTTTATTTATCTTACACTTTGTCATATTCATCTATATGGATAAGAAAACCAGCTAAATCCAGACCTAAATAAAATTTCAAGGGAAAAGGGGAAACTCCTATTTCTTTACAAACATGTTTACACAAGGTTTCAATAAGTAACCAAATTCACACTCGATGCTGTCTTAATCTGTATGACCCAAGGCACCAGCTAGGAAAGGCCCCACCACCTACATGTCCATGATGTCACAGCTGCCTCAGGTGTTCCGGGGCTCTCTGAGAAAGAGGATTCCTCTGTCACTTTGGACACAGTGTACTGCTCCTGCCTTGGGAGCTGAGGGTTAGGGGAGGATTCTGCCAAAGAAGTAAAATCTGTGGAAACGGCACTTAGATATCAGAGTTAAGGCAAGCAGAGACCAAGGAGCATTTGGGTAGAAATCAGATTTGTTAGCTCACAGTTGTCTATGAATTAAACAAAAAAAAGGTAAAAGAGAGAAAAGAAGAGAAACAGATAGCAAAGTTTGAATAGCATGCACACCTTTTTCTAATACTTCAGCATCTTCTAATTTCACTATACAGTTGTAGCTGTTAACATTATTCAATAAATTTCTCTTGTGGAACAAAATAGTGAAATTTATATTACTCTGAGTAAAAGCTAAAAAACATCATTACTAGTTATCCTATCAATAGTAGTATTTTAAATCACAAACAGAAGAGTGAAGAATTCTCATATGTATAAGATATGTTAAAATTTCAAAGTCCTAAATACCACTTAAAAATTAAAGATTCAAGAGTGTTTGGATGTTCCTAAATGATGAGTGAATTTGTGAATATAAATTACAAAAATTAGGTAGAGTTATATTACGCAATTTTCATACTTATCAAATTATCCTCATGATAAAATATTAGCATAATCATACTCTATTTTGTATGGCATTACTAGTCTGTCACGTTCATCTGTCTAATATTAACTCCAAAGATTAAGAAACTTTATCATATTTATAATAGCTACTAAACAGATATTATTGAAAACACTGGGAACAGCATTAGATTATTTTATTTTTACTGGACTTTTATCTATTTGGAGAGAATATACAATGAGAGCCATGTACTGCAATTGAAAATATTTTCATGGTAACAAATTTTTACCACTAGAGTTGGATACCTTTTATGTTGAATTCACTCCATGAACTGTTGCATAAAGAAATTGTGCTTGCTTACATCTTCCTGTAAGCGTTCTTCTGCACACACCTAGGTACGTTCTTAGTTATGATGTGCCATTACTCTTGGGGAGGAGGTTAATAAATGTGACCTGATATTTTATAAGGAAAAATAGAAGCTTAAATAGGGAAGGTACTCAAGGTACAATTCCAGAACTGAAATTCTGATCTCTGCCAGTTTCACACTCTAATCTAGGGAAGACATGGGGGAAAAGGGGGAGAGATTATTTAAAATTTGGAATGACACTGAAAAATCTGTATCTCCTTTATATACAGAGCATTACAATTGTAGTCATTTCTCAATTGTTATGTGCATTCCTTTTCAGTAACTACACAATGTGGAATAAAGGTGTCATACCTGTACTGGATAGCCCCTCAGGAGATTTTGGTTCTGAAACACTTTCTGGAGGAGCACCATCTACTGAATGTACAGCTACAAGAAAGAAATAGCATAACTCATAAAGTCGCATTCACAAATGGTACAATTCCTGAATAGCTTAGTTGTTTTCATATACAGTTCAGAAAGAAATGTGCCCTAAACTTGTTAAAAGTCATCTCACTATCCATCTGTGAAATGACTAAAATCCACTAGGAATCCCTTTCCCACATGTAGCCAGTCCTAAAATGCCAGTATCTTTCTGATAAATTCACAAATTATAACATGCCCACTTTAGGATAATGAAGCTGTACAATTGTGTCATTTTGTTTTGTTTAGTTGCAGATTTTTAAAAAGCAATTAAGTGAGACTAATCAGGGATCATTTTCATAGTCTAAGTATTCTTATTTAGTTAATTAAAAAGACAGAACTGATATCATTTCTACTGTCTGTATTAAATAAAACAACACACATGTAATGTTAAGGGAAAAAGTAACATTACCAGTAACATGACTATTTTCATCACTTTGATGCTGGGGTATTTTGGAAGGTGGGGAAGGTGCTTTTCGCTTTGTCCTTCTCAAAGATGAATTTCCTGTGCTGCTATGGGGCAGCGAGCCAGTCCTCACTATGCCTGCTTCACAAGGACTCTGGAAAATAAAAGGACCAAACACAATCCTGTATATAGAAATTAATAGCAAACTTTAGAATGGCGCTGAACCTTATGTCAAGTATATCATATACCAAAATGGAACACAGTAGTCATTCATTAAAAATGTTCATGAAGCATCTGCCACATACAGCAGCTGGGTTATGGGATATGTAAAAAAATAAAATGTGGCCCTTCTCAAGAAACCTAGCTAGAACCAGGGATTGACATGCAACAACTAACTCATGTGAAGGTAAGTAATATATTATCATAAGTGATATAGTTAAGCACTACCATTTAAGGAAAAATCTGAAGAAATTAAAGTAAGGGATGAAAAATGAAAGACTGTACATCAGGCTGGCTTAATTAATCTACCTCTTTTCAGCACTAGTGCATCAGTGAGAAACACTGTAAAAAAATCTATATGCCTACCCAAGGCAAGGTCCTTTGAGGTCACCACCCACAAACTGCTACTGCTCACACTCACAGCACATGACTGTCAGCAGACCCTAAGACAATCTTGCCTCCGCAGGCTGGCCAGTACCCTCCTGGCCAACTGCCAAGTCATTTTGCTCGCACTCTCTCTCTTTATAACAAAGCTTCTTAAAAGACTAGTTCACAATTTGTGTCTTCAATTTCTCTTTTCCCACTTGAGTCCCTTCTGTTAGACTTTTCCCAGTCCTTGATCCATTAAAACTATTCCTTTTAAAGTCACCAGTGACCTTGACCATGAAGAAATTAGTGACCGCTTCTCAGAACTCACTTATTTGACTTGTTAGCAATGTTAAACATAACGGAACACCATCCTAAAATGCTTTCTTTTGCTTCCAGGATAACACATTCATTATTCTCTGGCTTCTTAGTTTTCTATGTTCTTTTTGTCTCCTGATCAACATGGGTGTGGCCCAGGGCTCAGTCCTTGGTCATATTCTATTTCATATCTCTGCTCACTCTCTTGGTGATCTTATCTTTCCTCTTATTTTTAGGTATTATTTATATGTTAATTAACTCCAAACTATGCCTCTATCATAAAACTCTGTTCTGATATCCCTTTAATACTTAAAGCCACTTCAGTTTAACTGAGATCTCGATAATTCCTCTTTAACTTCTCCTCTGTATCCTGTTCTTCTCGGAGTCTGTCCTGTCTCAATAAAGAACAAGTCATCCTTCCATTCACCCCCATTGCCCCTCTGTCTCTCGCACCCCGCACTGAGTCCATTCCTTTGCCCTCCCCAAAAGACATCCAGTGCTCACTTTGACTGCTACAGCAGAGTCTGAATCATCAAGATGCTTCTAATTCGACTGTTTCCACATTGCTTCCCTACAGCCCTTTTCAACATAGCAGCAAAAAGGATCTGCTATCTTTAAATAAGTTCATTAAAAAGGATCCTATTAAAATGTAGGTCAGATTAGGTCACTTTGGTCAGAACTCATAGATAACCTGGCCCCTAAATCTCCCTGACCACCTTCTTCTTTGAGAATGGAATGGCTACTCTACTCCAGCCACACTGGCCTTCCTGCTGCTCCTCAAGCCAGGAAAGGTTCCCCCACGGTGTGGTTGCCCACTTCCCTGTGCCTGGAAAGCTATTTCTTCTGACAACTCAATGTATTACTCCCTCATTTTCTTCAGGTCATTTCTCAAATGTCACTTTTGAAATGAATACTCCCTGACTTCTATCACATCCTATCCTCTTTCCCAGATCTACATTTACGATCTGTATTTAATTGCTCTCTAACATGCTATATAGTTGGCTTGTGTATTATCAGCTCTCACGAGAATTAACTATAAAAGTAGGGATATTTTGCCCTTCCTATAATTGCTCACTGCTGTATCTCCAGAACAATGTCTGGCTCACAGAAGTTTCTTAATAACTATTAAGTGAATGTTATAAATGAATGATATACTGCCTTTTTCATTTGTAAATAAAAGACCTTGACAGTCTCAGACTAGGAATGTATGTAAAGCTTGGACCATTCTAATCTTACAAGACAACATTAGTACATCTAAGGGAAGTGAATTATTCCTAACATAGTTACTTATTATGCCTTGCTACACACCAAGAAAAATCTGGCAAATTTGCTATTTTGTAATTTTGTAATATTTCTGCCAGAGAAAAGCAGAAGCCTATTCCCACAGAAAAAACTGGAATTAGTTATCATTGCCAACTGTGTTAGGCACTCAAGAGGAAGGCAGGTCACCTCACAGGGAGAAGAACAGATTTACAGTGGCAGGTACTTGACTGAACAAACCTCTCACTAATTGGTCCTCTTAACAAGGGGGTGGGACAAGGTGGCACCGGGATGATCATAGTTGTAACATTAAATTTCTTTAATACCAGTTGGTATAGCTGCAGCCAACTCCCCCAATCTTGCCCCATTATTCTGGTCCTTCCTCCAGAATTCTTCAGATCCCTCTAAAATCCAGCAAGAAAAGAGTTAAAGTCTGCGACTCCAGCTTAGATTTTGATTCAGAGTCACTAAAGTCAATTCTGATTAAATATTATGATCACTCCTGTGGGTGGATGTGGGGTTGATGGTGGGTGTGGGGTAGATCCTTAATGAACTCTGGGAATAATTCAAGAGAAGCGCCTTCTGCAAAAGAGTTAAGAAAGAAACTACTGAGGAATGAGTGGTATTTAAATATTGTTTTGAGTAGAATATAGAGGTTAAATAACATCTTTTCACTAATGTCTGTGTGTTCTAGAATCTTCACTTGGTATCTTACAAAAGTAACAAATTTAAGAAACATTAGGAAAAAGAATAAAAGTTCTCCTAAAAGACCATGGAACTTCACACTTTAGAACTTTATCTAAAAATCAAAAGCTGTAGATGTCATTTCATGTATTGATGGATTTACTACCGTAAAGCTCTGTTAAAAGCATACTCCACTCCTGTGGCAGGCCTACTTTTAAGACTGCAATAAGTGATCAATAAGTGACTGCTGAACACATGAAGTAACAGAAGCATTTGGCTTTCCTGCTAGTTCCATGTTTCCTATGTTTTGACTCACCATGATCATGAGATGTATGATAAAAATGTTGTCACCTTTAGGCCACGTTCCCAAACACTGTCACTTATTGGTCTTTTCTATGACCTGATAAAAGCAGTCATGATATGAATTTCTCAACAACAGTATCTATTTAGGAATTATAGCTGGATGCGGTGGCTCATGCCTAAAATCCTAGCACTTTGGGAGGCCGAGGTGAGAGGGTTGTCTGAGCTCATAAGTTTGAGCCCAGCCTGGGCAATTTGGCGAGATCGCATCTCTACAATAAATAAAAAATTTAGCCAGGCACGATGGCATGTGCTCCAGCTACTTGGAAGGCTGAGACAGAAAGATCACCTGAGTCCAGCAGGTCAAGGCTGCAATGGCCATGAGCAACATGCCACTGCACTCTAGCCTAGGCTTCAGAGTGAGACTCCGACTCAAAAAAAAAAAAAAAGAATAAAAAGAGACAAATTTATATACATGGACTCACAAATTTTTATGAACTTATACATAACTCAAAGACAGAATAACCACTGACTTTCATATTTCATCATTCAGGCTAGAGATCTTAAAATAAGCTAGCATTTTTGTTCAGGATACTTCTATCTCTGCGAAAAAAGAATTTAAAATCTGTCAAAATAGATTTCAGTTTTATAAATTTTTTCAATAGCATTTATGAAGACAGTTGAGGGAATACATGTTAAAAGTGCAAAGGCATGGGCATTTTGGAAAGCATATAGTTTATAACCTTATTCTAAGTTTAAGAAGATCATCGATGCCTACACAATAGCATCTAAGTTGTATTTCCTTGAGTATTTCAGGAGTAAGCTCCTAATAGTCTCCCAGTAGATCTACTCTTGCATTTGTTTGAGTTTACCTACCCAGTAATTCTGAATGTGAAACTGTCTAATTGGAGAAAGGCTTACAGAGAGAGAGGTTGCAAGTAGGAAGGCAGTTCAGTATAATGGTTACCAAACAAATGGGCTTTGGAGTTGATACTAGGGATTGAACCAGGAAGTATGGCATTTATTGTCTCTGTGACCTTTAGCTTTCTCATGTGTGAAAAGTAACAGCACCTACGTCAAAAGGGGCTAGGGTGATTAAATAAAATATGTAAAATACTTAGCACAGTACCTAGCATACAGTCTATGTTCCATAAACATTAGCTGATATTATTACATGTTGTTTGTCTATTTTAAAGTATGTGAAACTGCTCTGTAAATACAATAAGGAAATGATAGTTAGGTAGAGGTTAGAGTAAAAAGTATGGATAAAGGAGGTATTTATTTTAAGACTGTATTCTCTGGTGATAGTGGTGGTAGGCATCCTCTTGGAATCAGCATCAGTAATAATTAACCTTAAAATTCAATAGTGCCCAATGTTCAGGAATGTGTGCTTAGTCCACTGCATAAATATTCATTTTGGGTCTAAAAATCTCCACCTTTAAGAAAACTCAGGTCACTTCAGCACACTTTAAAGAACTTAAATAAAAGTTAAATATTAAATACCAGTTTGTTAATCTTAGTGATGACTATATGACTGTATTATAGTTTATAAATCTGAAATGTTTCATAAGCAAATTTAATGTGAAGCATTAATATTAAATAACTGTTTATAACTTCCTTTAGCTTTTATGACCAAAATACATTTCCTTGGTCAAATTATGACTACATTTTTTAAAAAGGGGTTGAGATTAAATTATTTTTAAGTCTAAAGGCTTCACAAAATGAGAAAACAGAGAGGTTTCTAACTTACTAGGGAAACTGTTTTGGTTAATCATTAGAGATATTCAATTATTTACTTTAGTTAGCGTCACTGATAAAGTCTGCCTGCCATTAATAAAAACTGCACCTCTAACAGGAATGCACATCACCAAATTTTATGGTCTGTGAAAAGGGAAATACTACAAGGAGAAACAGAATACACTAATGAAAGTGGCAAGGTCATGTTGAAAACCATCCCAGATAGTTAATCCTCTGGAATTCACACCCAGATCAGAATTCACTGATTCA